GGGAGGGAGGGGAGAAAATGTAAATAAATATTAACACTCAATGTAACAATTTAAACAAACAATTAAAAAAATTAAAATTAAAAAAAAAACATTACTACAAAAAGACTCCAAACACATTTGCATGTTATCCAAAACAGTGATGGGAATGGCAGTTTACACATTAGTTTTACAACTGGCGCGCATGACCGGGACCTGGGTGCGAGATGAGGAGACAGCAGCTCTCTCCCAGCTGACTCCTCCCGGGTTCTCGGTCCTTCATCAATCTCGGACTAAGGGGTGGGGGGGGAGTGGCCCTGTTCATCCGGGAGGCTCGGTCCTTCTGGGCGCTCCCGCCACTGAAGCTCACAGGCAGAGTGCACTGGCTTTGTGGGGGAAGCCAGGGAGAGTTTGGCTATTTGGCTGATGTACCGTTTACCCAATGCGCCAACAAATAGTCTGTCATCCTCGCTGGAGATCGTATCAGGCTGGGCACCGGAGCACCCTAGATTGATAGTCTTGGGTGACTTCAAGATCCATGCTGATGACGCAGCTTCCACGCGGCAAGGGACCTGTTGTCATTCATGGCGATGCTAGGACTCTGCCAATATGTAACGGCTCCCACTCCCCGAGCGGGACACATGCTTAATCTGATCTTCACAGCGGGGGTTACAGTGGACCGAATTACTGCTATGGCAGTACCATGGTCAGACCACTATGCCCTGAAGGCCTGTGTGAACATTCCACCCTGACCCTGTTTGGGCAGCAAGCATATTTTAGCTCACCCACGGAGCCAAATGGACCCTATGTGGCTTCAGATGGCCCTGCGGGATCCAATGCCCCCTGGTGGCTTGCTGGATGAGCTTGTCGAGGACTGGCACAGACTACTCTCGGCAGCCACCATCTGCACCTCCGGTCTAGTATACCCAGGAGCTGTGGCTGATGAAGCAAAGGCTCAGAGAGCTAGAGACAGTGGCGGCGCACTCACGATGAAGCTACAAGAGCATCCCATAGGACATTTATGAGATCCTATGAGATGGCAGTCAGAGCTGCTAAGAGAGGGGACTACGCGGTCACGATTGCATCTGCGAGCTCTCACCCAGCCCAATTTAGAACAATTCAGTCTACTACTACTCCGCCACAAGGCAGACCAAATGCTAGGGAATTGGAGATTGGCTGTGAGACTTTTGCGAGCTATTTTGCAGATAAAGTCTTGTCACTCCGCCATGACCTTCCCACCACAGCTGAGACAGTAAGGGAACTCGAGGCTCCATGCACATCTTCTTGTCAGGTTTTGGGTTATTTCAGTCTGCTCAGCCTAGAGGAGGTCAACAAACTACTCTCTACGCCCGACCACTTGCAGCCTTGATCCGTGCCCATCATGGCTAATTAAAGCTGGCCATGATGGGCTACAAGGTGCCCTAAGGGAAATTATCAAGTCCCTCTCCGAGGAACTGTTCCCTAGAGCACTCAAAGAGCCAGTGATATGCCCTCTGTTAAAAAAAAATCCGTGGATCCAGCCAAATTGGCTAGTTACCAGACAGTCTCCAATTTGGCCTACTTAGGCAAATTAATTGAGAGAGCAGTGGCAATTCAGTTGCAGGGGGTTTTGGATTCGATCCCTACCTGTCTGGCTTCCGACCAGGCCATGGGACAGAGACGGCACTGGTCACCCTCATGAACGACCTTTGGAGGCATCTGGATTGGGGCGGTTTGGCGCTGTTTTGTTGTTGGAGCTGTTGGCTGCATTTGACATGGTCGACCACCAACTACTGCTCCACCGCCTCGCCAAGACGGATCCAGGAGTCTGCCTTGCAGCGGCTTCCCTTGTTACTTCAGGGTTGGGGACAAAGGGTGGCCTTAGGGGAACAGCTGTCCCGAAGGCACCAGCTAATTTGTGGAGTGCCCCAAGGAGCACTACTGTCCCCAATGTCATTTAACATCCACATGCGTCCCCTTGCCCGGATTGCCCAAGGCACTGGGCTAGGATGTCACCAATATGTGGATGACACCCAGCTCTATCTGATGTTGGGCAGCCAGTCTGACTCTAGTCCAGAAGATCTGGACCTGGCGTTACAAGCTGTGGCTGGTTGGCTTGGACTGAGTCAGCTGAAATTGAATCAGACAAAGATGGAGGTCCTGTGCGTGAGTCAGAGTGGCCCAAGGGTAGGGATCCCACTCCCAACCTTTGATGGGTCGCCGCTGGTTCCAGCGCCAGAGGTTAGGAGTTTGGGAGTGATCTTGGATGCCTCCCTAATGATGGAGGCTCAGGTAGCAGCCACTGTGAAGTCAGCCTTCTATCATCTTCGGCTGATTAGATAGTTGGTTCCCTTCCTCAAATGCAACTACTTGGCGACAATGATCCATGTGATGGTCAACCTCAAGACTGGATTACTGTAATGCTCTCTACATGGGGCTGCCATTGTCCCAAAGTCAGAAGCTGCAATTGGTGCAGAATGCAGCAGCCAGGCTGTTGTTGAATCTCCCCATATAGGAGCCCATTCAGCCTGCTCTAAAAGCACTGCACTGGCTGCCCATAGCACACCGAATTCACTTCAAGGTGCTGTTTTTGACCTTTAAAGCCCTTTATGGTCAGGGGCCTACCTACCTGAGTTTCCCTGTATGTTCCCCAGACAGCACTGTGGTCAGGGTCCCAAATCGTTTGGCCCTCCCAAGCACCAGAGAAGAAGAAGAAGAAGAAGAGTTTGGATTTATACCCTGCCCTCCACTACCCAAAGGTGTCTCAGAGTGGCTTACAAACTCCTTTCCCTTCCCCTCCCTACAACAGACACCCTGTGAGGTGGGTGGGGCTGAGAGAGCTCTGACAGAAACGGCTCTTTTTCACGAACAGCTGTTATCAGAACTACGGCTTGCCCAAGGTCATCCAGCCCGGTGCAAGTGGAGGAGTGGGGAATCAAACCCGGTTCTCCCAGATTAGAGTCCGCGCACTTAACCACGACACCAAACTACACTAGGTTGGCTTCAACGAGGGCCAAGGCCTTCTCAGTAATGGCTCCATACTGGTGGAATGAGCTCCCGGAAGACATCAGGGCCCTACAGGACCTTTTACAGTTCCGCAGGGCTTGTAAGATGGGGCTCTTTCACCAGGCCTTCAACTAGCGAGCCACACTTAGCAAACCGAGGCCCTGGCCCCAATACTAATACCACCATCAACAGCCTGTACTCAGCTGATATGACCCAGACTGAGATGTCAGCGACAGTACTCTTATGCTGATGCTACTAACGCCTCGCCATCACTATATGATTTGCACCAGCACTTTATGTAGTGTTTTACATATATATATTTTACATAATTCTCAGTTTTATCCGTTCAATAACATTTTGTGTACGCCCCCCTGAGCCTGCTTCAGCCGGGGGGGGGGGGGTTGTTTGGTTTATAAATTAAATAAATAAATAAATATCATCTAAAGTACAAAGAATAGCCTGCACTTCCGAAGTTAAAAGCTCAACGTTAATTCATGTTCTTTCCATATAACTAGGTTGGGATTAGGTAGTACAAGAGGGTGCCCAGAAAAAAATCTTTGTCCTGGGGCCCATGGGGGTTCTCAGCAGCCCTTACAGGAACACGCCCTTACACCATCTGGCAGGAGATCCGAACACGTAGGAAAACAAAGTAGGGCTTAAATCACGGATCTTCCATAAAGAAATTGATATGAGCAAAGACTGCAACTGCATGCCCTTCCATACCTCAAACCTTACTGAACACAACCTTCTCTTGACTAGGCATGCACGGAAGACCCAAGTCACCCAGGAGGATTTTTTTAAAAAGACATTACATATCTCTCCAATATACTTACTACAAAATAAACAGGCATTTTGAAAAAGTCACCATAATTACCTATCGTTTTACAAGGATGCTTAAAACAACTGGAAGGCTGCATTTTGAGTCTCAGCATTGTGCTCCGCTGCCTGAATCTATTCAAGGAGGCCAGACATGCTGGGCGAGGCCTGGGCTCAGGAGCAGCCTTGCTCTGGCTGAAGAGCACAGCAACTGATTCCCATTCTAGGCATCAGGCTGAGAGGCATACTACAAGTTCTTCTCAGAAGCCTTTACTTACATTGACATCGGTCCTATCAGCCACCCAGCGGGCGAGCTGTTCAGCAGCAAATCCCCGCACCTGCAATTCATAGGTGTCTCCTCTTTTTGGTTTCCCTTTTGTTGGGAAGTTAATGAAGGTCGGGGCTGAATTCATGTTTAGCTGTATTTTAAGAACCACAAAGAAAACAGTTGCTGATTAAAATTGATTTAATTGTAAACAGTTCATATTTCATGTCAATTCTGAAATTACTCAGAACCAATCTGGGCAATCAGGCTGCTTGCTTGGAGCAGCAGCATTCATTTTAGTCTGCAAACGAAATGTATTGGGTCTGCGCTGCAATCCCCACGACCTTCCAGGAACACGAGTGATTCGGTTACAAGAAAGAAAACTATTTCATATCATTTGGGCTGCAACAGTGAAGCTACTTAATACTCTAGAGCAGTGTTCCCTCTCAGTTGAGTTAGTGTGAGCTAGCTCAGTTTTTTAGCCTCCGGCTCACACATTTTTGTCTCAGCTCAGGAAGGATGGCTCCAGAACACATTAATTTATGCAGTAGCCAAATCACCTGCTCACAACTTTAATGCTGGTAGCTCACAAAGTAGAATTTTTGCTCACAGGACTCTACAGCTTAGCGGGAACATTGCTCTAGACCCTAGAGCAGCAAATGACACCTGCTTTCCTTATGCCCAAATCCTTATCACAGCTTCCAAGCAGGTGCAGTTATTTCTGTCAGACTGGTCAATAATTCTTGTTGAAAGTGACACATGCCCCTGCTCCTAAGCTCCACTGTAATACATATAACTTCACACACACAAAAGAAAATATTACCATCTGAAATACATCAGAACCTTCATCAAAATCTACCATCGCAAAAAAGACTCTGTTGGTGAATGCGGTTGAGTATCGCCAGGAGTTTGCCAGAATCTGGTACTCTTCATCTGCTTGCCTGTACAAATGTAAGGAGATGCTATTCAGTACCTGATCAGGTCAAATGGATGTAGCATCACTAGTCCAGATCCAGAAGACAGAGTTTTTAAGCAAGCAGGCCCATGAAGCTTGAACATGGATGTCAAAATAAAAGCCACACTGTTGCTTTTAATAAAGCCAACTAAAAAGAGTGTGTTGTTATTTTGGTAAGCCTTAATAAAAACTGCTGCATGAGATGCTCTTACTTAATACCACGCAACCACGGTAACTTCAAACACAAAGACCGATCCCTGTTTATGACGAAATGATTTTAAAGGTATAGTTTTGGGGGGGGGGATCAGAGTGATGAATCGCTAGTTCATCAGATTTTGTTAGCATCTAATTTTTTTATATCAGTTGATACCACATGATATTGTAAAGAAAAAAAGAAAAACACACTAGAAATCTTAGGTTGTTCTGTACTCATGAGTTTCTAAGTAACTGAAGTCCATACTTGCACACAACACATTGTCTGTGAGGCTGAAGAGCAGTGAACATAACAATCACAGAGTAGTTTCTCGGTGGCGCTTTTACAAGACGGCGAAATTTGTCACCATTCAGTCGAATGACGGATCTTTTACTGGCCCACTCCATCAGCTGACTGACTTTTTCTGAAAGCACCATCTAGGATACAAAAGCAGGGAAGTTAAGCATTAAACAAGTCTTGTCTTTCAGGACACTGGGCTGTCACACTGCTCATGCCAGGCTATTCTGTATCTCATTTAAATGCATTTAATTTATTTTCTGTACAGATACTTGTTGCTCCAGCTGTTACTTATTCACAAAATTTATATCCGGTCTTTCTCCCCTCGGAAGGGCCACTGAGGCAGCTAACAATTTAAAACATACACGATGCAATCACATTTTAAAACCATTAACATCCCAGGTTTATATAATAGCCCAGGCTGGCCTAATCCCATCACCTCTCAGAAGCTAAGCAGGGTCAGCCCTGGTTAGTCCTTGGATGGGAGACCACCCAGGAAGTCCAGGGTTGCTATGCAGAGGCAGGCAAGGGCAAACCACCTCTGAAGGTCTCTTGCCTTGGAAACCCTACAGGGGCCCCGGGCACACGGGCTGGATATCGCGGGGGGAGGCGTGGCTAATTGCCCCGGAGGAAACTAACGTGTGGCTGCCCAAGCACACGTCTCTGTCGAGGTCCCGTGGTTCGGGGGAAATGCCGATCAGATTCGTATCCTGCAGCGCGGCACAGAAGCCGCGCTGAGCGATCACACTAGCAATCGCACTTTGTGCGTATGTGCTGTTGGGCACTGTTGCGCATCCTGCGGAGACAAACAGCGGCGGGCGCCGGATGCCACATAAGTCCACCGGAAACGCGATCAGACGCCCACCATTGGCCCGCAGTTTCAGGAAACTAGTACCTCGTAGGTATTAGTTTTTAACTCTGCACCTTCGGCGGGGAGCCACAGGTTCGCCACGGGAGCACTGCGCTTCCCAGATGTTGGGGTGAGATCGCGCCCGGAAAAGCCACGGGACTCCCGTGCCTCTCCCGCAGCAACTTTGCCGTGGGACTGGGGCCAGGGTCGCTATAAGTTGGCTGCAACTTGATGGCAAAAAAACAACAACTAGGGAGTGATCCTAAGCAGGTCAGCTCAGAAGTAAGCCCCATTATATTCAGTGAGGCTTACTCCCAGGAAAGTATTCTTAGGATGCAGCCCTAGCGTCAGATCCTGCTCCTGCCAGGTTAAGAAGGAGAGGTGTGCCTACAAGCTCACACTCCTCCACCACCTTTCCTTCTATAACTGTGATCCATAGACCCAGATCCTCAGGTGGGCTGCAGAGACCCCAAATCGCTGCCTTTTGGAAGGACCTCCTGCTAGTGCACATGTGTTAAGAGCATCACTACATGTACACGGACAGGAGCGGTGGGGGGGTGAAGTGATGAGGATTGTTACATGTCTCTGATCTAAGGCTTGCTGTGCCCTGTAAAATACCCTGGGTGCTCAGCCTGTGCCCAGCTGCCTACTGCCCTGATCCTGGCTGAACAATGCTGAAGTCATAACTGTGGCTCCCCATCTTCCAGCGATGACTAATGACTTGCAGTTCAGTGGGTCCTCTAGAACAGTGGTGCCCGATTTGTGGGTCAGGACCAAAAGCAGGTCACAAAGCCTTTGAAAATGGGTTGGGGGCCAGCCCGCCCTAATAGCTGGGCCTGGCCTTCCTATTTCTCTCTTTTGCATTTGGAAAACCAAGATGTGGCCCTAGAACAAGTGTCTGCCTTTTCATATATTAGTGGGAATTTTTTCTTCACTGCATGAGCATGTTCATCATGTCACATGTGACCTGATGGTTACTAGAGTGAGTTTCTTAGACTCTTACAGGGGATTAGAAGGGCTAATGGAGAAGGAGAGGGTGGTCAAAGCCTGAACCTTCATATGCAAAGGCTGTGTAGCTCAGAACGCCACTTGATAGGGGTTCACCATTGTGAGATGTTTGTTGGATTCTCAGAAACATCTGATTAACCACTGTAGAAAATGGAATGCTAAACTAGATGGGTGCCAAGGCCACAGTTTGCCCAGGGCACCAAAGAAAAATTGGGCTAGTCCCAAATGAGTCATCATAACAGGGAAATTTGGACTGGCGGGTCTCCACAGCAAAAAGTAACTGCTGCTCTAGAAAGCTGTATACTTAAAGCAGGGTATCCATACACTTTTATTTTAAAAAGTTTATTCTTTCATTTAATGCATTTTTGCATTAATCCCCTTCTGTTTTCCATCAGATTCAATGGGAAAAATAATTCCTCAGCTGTCACATTTTTGCATTCTCATCCAATTTCAATCAATTTTTTCAGGAACTGCAACTGTTTCAGTGAAACTTCCTGCCAAATTTCTGAAAGGCGTAAGAAGGGCTCCTGTTTTCCAGTCAAAAGACCAATCAGATTTTTTGTTCCTATTGAAATAAAAACACAAGTCCGAGAGTGTAGCTCAGCAATCAACATCCACCCTGACCAACCTTAGTGCAACTATATCCCTGAATATTCACCCCCCTTCTTTCCTCTTCTTCCCGATTCTCTTTGCAACACCCCCCAAGCTGGGCCCTATATGGCAAGGAAGACAAATGCTGCCTCAGCACGTGGTACTCTGTGCTGCTCTGCAGACAACTCACAGAATCCTGCTGCGGCGATCCATTCCTCTTGAACACACATAGGCGTAATGTTCATGGGGGCGGCGGGGCTTTAGCCCGCGCCGCAACTTTCAACTCAGCCTCCCCCGGGAGCCACCCTTGCTCCTAGCAAAGCAATGCCTCTGGCCCAGCCCCACCCCCCCCCCCCCCGGAAATTTGAAAGTCTACACCCTTGTGAACACACACGGTGTACTTCCTGGTGATCACGGGCCAACCATTAAAAGCAGAGCATTATAAAACTACCATAAAGTCCCTTTTAAACCAAGACTAAAAGATGCATATTAAAAAAACAAAAAAGCATAGACCCAGCAATTAAAACACAGGGCCAGGAAGAGGGAATCACTGGCAGAATGGCCAGGCAGAACAATAAACATCTCCCCCCCGCTGGCAGAAGGCGGGGATGGAAAGGGGCAGAGGAACCTCCCCGGTTTTGATGCCGCGGCCGTGAAGGCCCGCTCTCCCCTTGCCACCCACCTAACCTCAGTGGGCGGGAGCCTCCGAAGCCAGGCCTCCAAAAACGACTGCGGCAGGCAGGTGGCTCCACGGGGCGGGGGAGAGGCAGGGCCGGCCCCAGCTTATTTTGCACCCTAGGCGAGGATCCCATCTGCCCCCCCCCCCTTGCGCCCACCAATTGTCAAAAATAAATTTTAGGAAGAATGAAAAACACAAATAATCAAGAAACTCCCAGAGTATGGGGCCGGGTGCAGTTTGGTGCCCCGAAGGGCCGTCCCGCTCTAGGCGATTGCCTAGTCCGCCTAGTGAGTGAGCCGGCCCTGGGGAGAGGGCAGTCCCCAGGCTGCACGTGGCTTTAGAGGTCAGTGTCGGCACCTTGCGTCGGACCCAGACCAATGTTCCCTCTAAGATGTGGAGTCCTGTGAGCAAAAAGTCTACTGTGTGAGCTACTGGCATTGAAGTTGTGAGCCAGTGATGTGGCTGCTGCATAGATTAGCTTGCTCTGGAGCCACCCCTTCCTGAGCTCAGGCAAAAATGTGTGAGCCGGAGGCTAAGGCGGCCGCCCGGCGGCTCGGCCCCGCGCGCGCCTCAGCGGGCCTCGCCGCTCACCTCCTTCTTCTTCTGCCCGCCGACGCCCGTCCAGGCCACGAACAAAGCCAGGCAGCCCAGCACCAGAGTCCGCCGCAGCGCCATGGCGGAGCGCGCCCGGCCTGCCTCCGTCCCGGCCTGCCCTCTGAGGGACGCTCGCCGCACGCACGCACGCACGCGCTGCCAGAGTCCTATTGGCTGAGGGGCACTTCCGCGGCTCGCCCATTGGCCCATCCTAGTTCCTGTTGCCCTGGTCGTTTGGGTTGCGACTGGGTCAGGGGGCGAAGGGGGAGGAGCAGGAACTCCCTGAGCGAATGGAAGAGGAGCAAGTTGTTGCAATGGGATTGGCCGTCGGAACCCTGGAGGCGGGGCTTGTGAGGAGGGACTTTGAAGCCCTGGAAGACACGTCTAGGAAACCAGGAAGGGGCCCGTGCGGAATGTGAAAGTGTTGGCACAGAAGCATTCAGTCCGGAGGGTGCGAAAGAAGTCTGAAGGACTGAGCAGTGACTCGCAAAAGTGCATACCGTGCCACCATGTTGTTAATCTTTAAAGGCGCTACTGGACGTTTACTCCTTTCTACCATTCTTAGAAACCACAACATTCAAAAACCAGTGGGGGGACATTTTAACCTTCCATGGCATTCAGGTGCTGACCTAAGAGTAGCAGTTCTTTTGCAAAGGAGATCAGAAAAAGAGACGGCTGAATTGCAATTGACCATAAAACTCAAGACAATGCAAACTCCTGGACTGAATTGAGACCTAGGTTTCTTCTCTCATTACCAATGCCTGCTATTGTCTTTTGGCAATCCCTTCATTCTCCAAGATATAAGGACAGATGGACTCACAGTCCAGCTGTATCTGAAGAAGTGAGCAGTGAGTCATGGAAGCTCATCCCCTGCCACAAATTTTGTTAGTCATTAAGGTGCTGCTGTACTCTTGCTCTTTCACTAATAAGGAATGCAAGCTGTGCTGTTAGGTTTCTCCCCTCCCCCCCACATGTGTTAGAAATGGAAAGGGTGATCTCTCCAAGTTCCATGGGATGGACTATCTCTCATACCTGGAATAAAACATTTTGGGGTCTTAAACCAAGGACTCTTCCCCCACCATACCTGGAATAAAAACATTTGGGGTCTTAAACAAAGGACTCTCTTTTTCTGGGGTGCTCTCTCTGGCTCCCTCCCTCCCTCTGAAGAAAAAGTGTGCTTCTACCTGGAATAAAACGTTACTGGTCATCTTAGAAGTCCCACAAGATGCCATTTACAAACTGTTGTTTTCCAGTGTGTCGCAATGACAGTTTGTGCCGCAAAAAGTAGTATAGCTATTCTTTGTATGATGGAGTGACTCACACAGTCCGCAGCCCAACTGTTCAAAAATAGATGTTCAGGAGTAGGATTAATATCTATATTGTTAAAGGATTTGATCTGGTCTAGCACTTCGTTCCAGAAGGGGATAATTTTAGGACAGAAAACCCAACAATGCATGTAGTCTCCTATGCTGCCACAATTCTTACAACATTTTGGATTATACATTGGGTTCATGTGAGCCAGCTTTTGGGGAGTTAGATACCAGTGCAAAAGTATTTTAAATGTTTGCAGTTTCATGGAAGTTATTCTTGAATGAAATGGGGGAGATGTCCAGATGCGATCCCATGCTTCAGCTGAGAGAGCAGTACTGCAAGCTTTATGCCACATATTTTGATAGGATAACCTTTCTGCATCTCTCAGAGAGACAAGTATTTTATGCACCTTGGAGATCAGACCCTTCTTTGAGACACTGGCAATGGCAATAATCGCTCCACGTGCTGTAAGTGGTTCTTTTAGAATGGATTCATGGTGAATTTGGGAACACATATGGGATATTTGTAGATACTGCAGCCAGGGTATATTTTTTTGTAACTTAGTTTCTAAATTTGTTTTAGGCAACAGCAGCTTCTTAGCAGTAAGGTCCTGGAGAGTGATGATGTTGGCTTTTTTCCAGTGCTTATAAACAGGATTATTAAGGCCCGGTTGGAACCACTCCTGATTTATAAAGGTCTGGTAACGTGAAATAGGTGGCGGCAACAATTTTTTCATCCGATCCCACGTAGTCAGCATTGCTGACAGCAAGGGATTAGAGCGAACTTGTTTTGGTCTGCTAGTGGCCTTTTGCCAGATAACCTCCTTAACATCAAAGGGAGCCGTATAGGCAGCATATTGTGTGGACCGATCTGACTCTTCGCCCGCAAACATCGACTGTATCACCTGTGAGATATGTATGGCCTTATAATAGGATAGTAAATTAGGGAAGTTTATTCCTCTTATGCCGAAGTTCTGTACAGTATAGTCTTTTTAATTCTGTGATGCTTGTATGCCCAAAAGAAATTTAAAAGCATCGATTGCCATTTGTATATTTGTGACGTACTGATAAAAATTGGGATATTCCGAAAAAGAAATATAAATTTAGGCAGAACAAAGGATTTGATAATGTTGAGCAATTTAATCCCCAGATAGGGTAGACTGTCTGTGATCCAAGAATAGTCAAACTGTGCTTTGACAGCTAAAGAGGTTTTTTTTAACCAGATTTATTGGTAGTAAGTGCGATTTTGCAATATTAACCTTGAGCCCAGAGATAGAACTGAAGTAAGATAAATGTCTTTGAATTGAGCTTAATGAAGAGATTGGTTGAAATAAAAATAACATGTCATCTGCAAACAATGACGCTTTGAATTCTTTTTGGTGAAGGACAGTGCCTTTTACATCTTTATCCCCTCTAATTAAGTTCGCTAGTGGGTCAATACAGAGAGCAAAGAGGAGTGGGGAAAGAGGGCAACCTTGCCTGGTGCTGCGCTGTAAACTAAACGAATCTGATATTGTATGATTGATTTTAAGATGGGCCCTGGGGTCGGCATAAATGGCCCCAAGAGCTGATAAAAATTTCTCACCAAAGCCCCTATGTTTCATCACACTTTTTAGATATGGGATCTCCACCGAATTGAAAGCCTTCTCCAGATCTAGCGATAAGAAGGCTGCTGAGATGTTTTTGGATTTGCAATAACTCAGAATTGTGAGAGCTTTATGTAAGTTTTCTGTTATGTCCCGTTTGGGCATGAACCCGACTTGGTCCTGATGGACATATTTGGTGACAAAGGCATTAAGGCGATTAGCCAAGATCGACATAAAAATTTTAAAATCAGTATTAAGCAGTGATATAGGTCTGTAAGAGGCAGGCTGAGATGGATCTTTACCCTGTTTTGGGATAACTATAATTGCCGCACTATTCCATGAAGGTGGAAGACAACCTGTGCTCATAATGTGATTGCAGGCCTCTGACAGCGGCTCTGCTAAAAGCTGAGCAAATTGCTTATAAAATTCAGGAGTGAAGCCATCTGGGCCTGGTGCTTTGGATGATTTCAGTCGTTTGATTGCATTAGTTACCTCCTGTGGTGTGATGGGTTCTTCCAATTGATTTTTATGCTCCTCTGAAAGAGGTTGTACTATTGGGTGTGCCTTGAAAAAGGACTCTAGTTCAGCATCAGAAACGTGTGATGAGGCATATAGTTTTTTTATAAAAAGCCAAAAATAATTTAGATATAGCCTCTGTATCACAATGAGATTCCCCATTGGTATCTTTTAAAGCTGAGATCAGTCTAGCTTGTTGTTGTTGCTTCACTTGTTTAGATAAAAACTTCAATGATTTGGGGGTGAATGCCCAACCTCTTTGTTTTGAATATAAAACATTTTTCTGTATTTGTGTCATCTCTAATATTTCTAGATTTTTACGTTCTGCCAACAGTTTTTTGTAAACCTTAGGACTACCCCACTGCTTATGTTGATTTTCCAATATACTTATGTTCTTCTGGAGGTCTAGTCTCAATTTTTGTTTCTGTTTTTTAATATAAGATGCCGTGGAGATTAGTTGACCCCTTACCACCGGTTTCATCGCGTCCCATAATACTCTAGGTGACACTGAACCTGCTGGGTTATCCTGAACAAAGTGTTTGATGTTTCCCTCAATCTTTGCCACTACTTGATCATTCATTAATAAAGAGCTGTTTAAAGACCATGTTGGTGTTTTTAACGATTCCTTGCGTTTTTGTGTGTGTCTCTCTTTAAAAGTTTGGTTGCATGGCTGTGGTAAGTAGACTAG